CCTTCAAATTGTTCCAACTTATGTCATGAGTACACAAATTAGACAAATATATATATATATATATATATTGTAAGAGGTTTTTTTTTTGTTTGAACATATACAAATTTGCAAAGAAAGGGAATTTGAATCTAGTACCTAATGTTAGAGATGTACTTTTTTAAAAAAATATGTTTACCATTAGTTAAAGGGGAAGAAAAAAAAAGAAAAAGAAAAAGTAGAGAATTGCAATTGCAATTCAGGCATAAAGAGAAAATTGACTGAGGTTGCACATTTCTTAAGGTTTTTAGCCATTTGGTCTTCCACGGTGCTATTGTAAGTGGTTTGAGATATGCATTGCAATTGAATGTTAATTAATGAAATTTCCCATGCAGAATGCTATATACTCGCTCATTATTATTATTTTTATTTAGGTTAAATGTCAATTTTGGTCCCTCAATTTTAAAGTTTTGGATAATTTTCATCTTTCTACTTTTTTTTGCACTTTTTTTCTTAACTGTGAAAAATGTATTTTTTTAGTCATTCTGTCAGTTAATCCGTTAAGTCTATTTGAATTTACATATTTTTAGTCCCTCAATTTTTAATATATGCATATTTTTTGTTCCTTAACTTTAAGTTAAGAGATTAAAAATGTATAAATTTAAATAAATTCAATGGATTAACTGGCAAAAAACCAAAAAAGTGTATTTTTTTTTTTAGTTAAGGGATCAAAAAAATACAAAAAAATTAAAAAATAAAAATTATACAAAATTTTAAATTGAGAGATTAAAATTAACATTTAACATTTTATTTAATATTCCAGAATGAGAATCTCATATTCACTGGATCATAAATTTATCAGACAGCATACTCTCACGCGCGAGTCCCAATTGGATTGAAATATCTTTATTAAAAAAAATAGGGAAAATTTTATCCCATTTATGAAAAGTATTGGGGGAAATTAAGATTTTATTAGTAATTAAAATAGTAAAAATAAACAAAATATATTTTTAATAAAATAATACATAAAAAAATTTATTAATATTATTTCAACAACTTTTTAAATGTTTTGATATTTAAAGTATTAAAATGTTTTGATTTTTATTTTTTAATAAAAATGAAAATCTAAATTAAAATGAAAAGACTAGAATGCTCTTTTATAATAATAATTGCAAGGATTACTGAAATATACCGTTCACGAAATATCCTTTCTACAAGGATATGATCATTTAAAAGTTTAGTAATCAAGGATATAGGTTTTGGTGTTTTTAATTGAGGAACACAACTTACAAAATTTCCTAATCAAGGAAACGAACTCATCAATTTTACCAAGCAAAAATTGGAAGGCTGGCGTGATGCT